GCAAAACTTCCAGGTATTAGCAGGCCTGTTTCTGCTCAGTTTGTTACTTGTGTTGTATTACAGACTGACATCCTCAATGTCAACTTTATTACAGGACTAATAATTTTATTATGCCAGAGCAGTGTATACATTGCAACCACAATTACAAGAATTGGGCTTAAATTTAAAAATATTCCATAAACATGTTTTATCACTTTACTTGAAATTGAAAACAGTAGTTAATGTTTTGTAATTACTGTATAGTTTGTAATATTTTAAATATGTATTAAATAGGTAGGATATGAAGGAGTGCATAGGTATTTTAGTGGGCAGAATAGCATTCTATTACCTTACCATTTATGTTCTTCATAAATCAGACTATTTTACATTAATTAATCACTTTGATAGGTTTAATAACCAAACCTAAAATTCTTGTTGCATTTTCATTTTAAATTTATAAAGCAAAAACTGAAAATCTTGCATGTACCTGTAACTTGTTTCTTTAATCTTTTAGGTAGATTGCTTAAGATTTAAAACCGTGGAGTCAACAGTTTTACACTAAAATGAGCTAATCCTGATCAAATACTTAAACATTTTAACCTAACACCTACCGAGTGAAAATGGTACTTCAACATTCCCACTCCAAGTATGTAGATACAGTTCTCCTAACTGTTGAATAAGTTGTGAACGTTAAAGCTGAATGTAGCATTAGTTTGTTGCATCAAGGATGAGTATGCTTCATACAGAGCTGGGAGATTAATTAATATAATCAATTACCTGTGAATATCAATTAATGTCATATAAAGTAATTGATTAGTCATAATTATGATTAAGTTGATTAATGCTACAAAAATAATAAACTAATCAAAATTAGTTTTCCTGATTATTATTGTTTTGAATTATTCCAACTACCCAAGTATTACGATTTCTCATTATTATTTAGCTTTAGTAGAGTTGTCTTATGAAAATTATAGAAAGAAACCCATGGAAGAATATCAATCATTTTCAGCTTGTTTAGGTTTTGTTTCTATATACCATATTGGCCCGATCACAGGGCATTCTTGAATATAAAATTGAGTGTCATAACATCCTTTTTTAGATCTGCAAAATCAATACTATAACTGAACAGCCTGCAGGTGATTAGTTGCAAGAATTATCAATGACCTTGAGCAAACATCTGGCATGCATGTGTAGATGGATGCTATCTGGACATTCAGGAATGTGACAGGCTAGAGTAGAGGGGGGGGGCTGTGGTCATTACTACCACAATTACAATTATAAGGCAACTATAAATTTTACAGCCTAATTATTAATTAAAAACAAATACAGTATATGTTATGTTTCAGTACAAAAGTTTAGGATTAAAAAGTAACTTGTTGTAACTGAAGATGTTTACTAAGAAGTGTACTTCAGAAAAACAAAAACAAGCTGAACACAGGAAAAATCACAAGTAGCACAGGGAAAGAAAAGGATGGGAATGACAAACATAAGGAGGTTATAATTATAGGTGATTCTTTAGGAAGAAAAGATTTAGATTATCCTATCCAGGGGTGAAAGTTATAATTGAAAGAGCAAGAGATATAACAAAGAGTCCTAGCAATGATGCAGTCTTTGTAGTATACATAGGGGCTAATGATGTAGGGAAGGGTTGAACAGAGAAGCTAACTGATAAATACAAGGGATCGACAAAGGGATTTAAAAAAAAAGCCCATAATATTTAGTTCTGTTAGGGACACTATGGAGACTTAATCATGGTGATGAAAATATAACTAGTTCACTAGACTTATGTTAATAAGTTAAGATGAACAGGTTGGATTTGTGGAATCAGTTCACTGGGAAAAGGGAGCTTTTTGGAAATGGATAGTTTACATTTAACTACTTGTTTGTAAGAGCTATTAACTCAATTGTAGGAGCTTTAATGGTGTGGGCCAGAATAATGAAGAAACAAAATGTAGAATAAATTATCACATAGGAACAAAATACAGAAGTAATTTTAATGGTAGGCTAAACTGTTATTATTGTAACGTTAGAAGTATAAGAAATAAAATATATGACTTTAGAGAATTCATCAAAATGGGGGACTTAGATCTAATTGGAATAACTGAAACATAGTTAAATATAAACAATTTTAATAACAATTTTTTTGAAATACAGAGTTATAGGTTATTTATTAAGGGTAGAATAATAAAAAGAGGGGGTAGGAATGGATTTATATGTAAAATGTGAGTTAATCCTTTCAACTTGAGTAATGAGATTGGATCTTTTTAGGTGTCTGTTAGTGGTCATAAGGGGAAAAGGCTTTTGATTGGAATTTTTTACAGACCACCAGCTGAAACTGATGAAATTAATAAAAAACTCTAGTGAGATAAAGAATTCAACTGTTAATGAGGTTATAATCATGAGAGGTTTTAATTTTAGGCAAAAAAGACTGGGAAATGTTAGCATCAAATTATGAGGGAAACAGATTTTTCAAAATTGAAATCTAATTGAATGATGTTCTCTTTCAGTCAGACTTTCTCTAATATTTACCCCATCAACCATTTCTATACCAGAAGTTAGCAACAAATCTAAAATAGCATTGTTCCTAGGAGGTTCCCTAAACAAGTGGTCAAGAAAAACCATCATAAAGGCCACAAATTTCAAAAATGAAAATTTTGAAGGGATGAGTCAAGAATTCTGTTGTGAACTGGGGAGCTGAATTAATTGGAGATACTGAAGAACTGTGGAATACATTTCAAAAAATTGTTAAATATTCAAAACATACATATTCCTTATAGAAAAAAAAAAGGTGGCTACAAAACCAGGTTGGCTCACAAAGGATATAACAAATACAATTAAAGAAAAGCATTACAAGTTCATTAAGTTTAAACTGACTGCTATGATCAGAGATTTAGAGGATTCTAGAAGATCAGGTGAGTTAGTCAAATGGGAAATTAAGAAATCAAAAACAATATGAAAAAAGGTTCACCGAAAATGTAAAAATTAATAGTAAGATTTTCTTTAAATACATTAAGGGTACATAAAATGTTAGGATGGGAGTAGAGCCTTTCAGGGATGATACAGGAAAGCTCATATTTAAATACGAAATGACTGGAATATTAAATTTTACTTTTTCTTCAATATTTAAAAATGAGAGTTTAAGCAATATTCCTCATCCTGAACAGATGCAAGACAGAAAAAAAGATCGAACAAGTTGATCATATTAATTCTGAGCTGACTAAAAAACTGGGAAGTTTAAAGAATGACAAAACTCCTAGGTCAGATAATATTTCCCTTATGGTTTTGAAGGAGGTTAAGGATTGGATATGTGAGTCACTAGCTACTATTTTTTTGCAAGTCCTTGAATACTGGGTAGGTGCTATATGATTAGAGGTTGGTTAACATGCATTCTCTTTTCAAGGGAGGTGATAAAAATTTTCCAGTAATTACAGGCCTATTAGTCTTATCTCAGTACAGGTAAAAGTTTTCAAAGTCTAAAAAAAAACATGCTTTGGAAAATCATTTAATAAAGTTTAAAATGTTGTTAGATAGTCAACATGGTTTCACTAAAGAAAAATCTTGCCTTACAAATCTTTTGACATTCTTTGAAGAGGTTACTGTTAATGTACGAGTATGAATTTGGTGTATCAGTAATTTCAGATAGCATTTGACAAGGCTTGTTAAAAAATCTCTGTAGGTGTGGGGGATAGCTTGGTTTATTGGATAAAATAGAAATACTGAAAACATGTCTAATAACATTGTATAGGTCATTGATTAGGCTACATTTGGAATATTGTGTTCAGCCTTGAGGTCCTTTCCTTGGGAAGGACATTGAATTGTTGGAAAGGGTATAGAAAGATTGTTGATACTATCAAGGGTATAAGATTAAGTACACTGTGAAACATTGATTGTGTTTGCTATATTGCCAGCACTCAGTAAAACACTTGAATTGTCAGTTTTTTTTCATCGTATACATAAGATGAGTATTATTGCTATTAAACATTGATTAGTTGAGACTTAAAACTGGAAAAATAACGGAGGAAGTGAACTTTACCACTCACACACACAATCAGCAATAATCAATCAATTTTGGTGATACATTAATAAATGACTATTAACATTTCTACTATTTAAAATAAATACACAAGTTACCTGGGGAGGGGCTATTATCAATTTTTTTTAATATCCGCAATGAGCCCAGTAAAACTTTAAAAAATGCACAATAATTGGTTATTATACTCAATTTTTACAAACTTATTGTCATTTTGGACATTTCAGCCCAGGTTTTAAATTCTAATATTAATCACCCCAACTATAATTAATTCAGAACTCTAATTTCTGATCTGCTATCTTTAAATATTTTCTGAACTAATGATTAAAGCACTTGTGGCTCACTACATTATGAAAAAGAAAAATTGGTAGTAAAATTTTTTGAATTGCAACCTATGTGTGGCTGTTCAATGACAATCTACAAAAAAAATGACATGCATATAATACCTTGGTTACTGATGTTGCACTTATGACTAATGTTTCAGTTTGCTATTTTATGTCTCATCTTTTTTGTGTGTGATTTAAAAGAGGTGACAAAACTGGTTGGTTAGATGTAGACGGATCTAGAGATTTACGTTAAAGTCTAATAAATATTGCTAAACTACTGGTCCTAGCAAGATTCATCGGAAGATATTAAATGTGATCTAGTCTCTAGTGGTACAATGACATATTACTAAGCTAAGAAAGGGAGATTATATTGGGTTAGTAATATTATTGCCGAGGCTTTAAATTTAAAATAATTTGAAATCTAACCGAGTTTGATCAAACGTTTTAATTACGTTGTTTTTAATAAAAATTACACATTTACGTTTTACAAATTACAGTAAAAGCCGACATGAGTAACTTTCATTATTATACACTAATTATACGCTGCTTAATTATTATATATTATTATCAATATTGAAATAATAATTTAATTTTTAAAAGTAAAACAAACACTGTGTAGGCCCATCATTGTAATTTGTATCAATTCAATGTGTCATTTGTCTCACCTTCCTAATTCTTCGAATACATCGAAAACTTTGTCAAACGAGGTCTGTTCCGAGTCTGTGGCAACCTGCACCATAATTGCAGAGATAAACTGGCTTCCCTACATGAGTATTTCCTTCTAATCCAACAGTTATTTTAAACAACTACTGAACTAGTCATTACATTAATTTACAGTGACTTCAGCACAAGGATTACTGCTTCCATACGTACTCTCACCATGCTGTTCTCCAACTGTTCTGCGCAATGTTCTACACTGCGCGTGAACAACACTGTCAACAGAATATTCGATGACGTCTAGCCATAGTATTATCAACTATACACTGGATTTCGTACCGGTGGCGGTGTTTGTTGTTCATTAATTAAAAACTTGTGACAAAATAGTAAAATATCAATAAATTTTTCATAAGAAAAATCACGTTTTATTTTATTTTACTTGTTATTAAAGTACAATGTATATATATATATATATTTAGCTAACGTTTTCATTAATACTTGAAACAAACTTAGAAATATTATTATTTACATAATGTAGTAACGTGCCAGAAATGAATTAATTAACATACACCATATCAACGTAAGTGTTGCCAGAAGTATGAAAACATGAATAGAAACCACCGAATTACAGCCTATAAAAAGTGATAAACTTCAGAAATCCAACACAGCTCAAATATATATATATGATATCAATACATTACACACAAATATGTTATTTACATCTTTAACTATAAAATATTACCTAAACAACACGTTGAATGTAACGCAGATTTATTTTAAAAACTGAAAAAAATATCACTTACTGTTAGGTAATACTAAACAAAATCAGTGTATCAGCTGTAAAGCCTTAGTCAACAATTGTCTTTAAATAAGAAAACGAAGAAAAACAATCAGCATTCTAAAATCTTTAAGATTGTTTGTTCTGTTGTTTCTACAATGGGCTATCTGTGCTCTGCCTACCACGACCGCTTTTTTTTTTGGCCGCACCTTTTTCACACCTAAGGTGTTTTTGATTAGATATAATTTACCTGTTCCTCTCCTAAAGACTTATTACAGTGTCATACTTGTTCCAGCTTTGAATTTTTCCTTTGCATAACAAGTAGGGAATATATCTTTCATTGCGCATATTCCTTAATGTTTCTAATTTTTCGTGTAGGTCTTTTACGCGTAGTTATGACTTTCATATTAACGTGATGCCAAAATGTTGTAGATTTGTACTAGTTATTTTTTCCTCAGGTAAAGATTGCACATGCCAACGGGTTGAACCTCTTAATCATTTTGTCACTGCGTCTCTCCCCACTGGGAGGAGCAAGCATATCTCAAAGGGTGACACAGTTACTTGTACAAATTGGTATGAGTTGGCGTTTTTTTATCCTTAATAAATGTTATTTGGAATAGTTGGTGGCGTATGCAGCATTGGATTCTGGAATATCGCGTTTTAACGTTTTGATCTGAATGTGTGCAATTAATCAGAATTATTTTTGACCTTGTCCTGCACAGAAAGATTATCTGTCTGACCCCTCCCCGCCAATAAAAACAAAGTATATAAAAACCATGAGTGTTAATGAAATATTAATATGGGATGATAAGACTGATCACTTGACCAGGAATATCGTAAACAGCTTGTCAGTTAAACAAGAAGGTCTAGGCCTTCCTAAGTTTAAATGACATCTACTACCCCTCATCATGAGTTTTATATCTAAAATTATGGACTGTAGTTTATTTTATCACAACATGGGTCGGTTCATTGTCAAATATATTACTGCTAGTCCGAAAACCAAAACTATGAAGACAGACACAGATATTTCTTGAAATATCTTTATCTCTAAGTCGCAATAATCCGAAGGCGAAATATTCTTCCAAATCAGTATCAGAAACCTGTAACCAACTAGTTTAGATAGCAAGTCCTAGAATCCGAGCAAACACCAAGCTAACTGGAAAATTTCACGTGGTTAAAAAAACCACACACACACACACACAAAAAAGAAAGTAAAAGACTCAACCTAGATTTTTAAAATAGCTCATAATGTCCTTGGTATACAAGACAGCCTCTATGGAATTAATAACTTAATATCTCAAATACAAACAAATGTTCATTATACCTTTATATAGAAACAGTCAAACATGTTCTTTTCAATTAGGTATACAGGAGAAAAGTTTTTTATGTGTTTTATTTTAGGCCTATTAGTTATACAACGGTTTTGTTTAACACCCCTATATTCCCGATTTCAATACTCATATGTATTATTTTATCTTTTTTGTCACCAAACTCAAGAACCAAATCTGGTCCACTAGGTACAAAGCAGTATATGAAAATACAAGAGAAAGTTATCCAATGATGACTAGAAGAGAAATATCCAGCAAATGGTTGAAGTTCACGTTCAGAATGAGTGAAGTTCAACCAATATTGATTCACGAGTGATGGGCTCCAGAAGAATTGTTTTTATTTCGGCTGTAAGTTCTAGTCCTACTTGAGTTAGCGAAGTGAAATCAAGAAACTCGTCTATATTTCAAGTGGTCAATGGGGAAAACTGAACAGGCGGTCCAATTCTACTTGGAGGCTTGTTTATTTGTTCGTAGTTAAGCCCATAGTTACACAATGAGCTATCCGTGCTGTGCCCACCACGGGTATTGAAACCAGGTTTTTTAGCATTTTAAGTATTCAGACTTACCGCTGAGCCGCTGGTTAGATATGTTGATTACCTACTTGGATTAAACGAGTTCTGGAACAAATGAAAAAAAAAAGACCGAAATATCGGAGATTTTGATTGTGTAATCATGTTCCCCGGTGGGACAACTTGGACAACAGAATTTGTTTGTTTTTTAGAGCAAAACTACACTGGGCTATCTCTTGTGTCCACCGTGGAATCGAACCCCCTATTTTAGCATGGTAATTTCATAAACTTATCCTCTGTGTTTCGTCTTTCTTTTATGCATATCATCATTATTGAGTGGCATTACACCTCTTGTACATATTTCAAGAAAACAACTAAGATTAGGCAACATTCTGAGTGGGAAGTATACACTTGGATTTTTCTTTTGTTTCAATATTTTCCCTACATTTAGCATACTGGCGGTGGGATGAGATACATTCTCTCACCCCCGCGACTTTATATGCTCAATTAATTGTGTGTGTCCTTATTTCTATTATGTATTTATAATTTTCGTATTTTAAAATCTTCTTTTAATTCCTTTCGGGATTTTGTTTTAACTTTTATGACTATGGCGTTGTAAGGATGCTTAATAATGTCTTACTTCCTTTACATTGTATTAGCTGCTAGAGTTTTGGGTTTGTTTGTTGAATTTCACACAAACCAACGCGAGGGTTACCTGTGCTAGCTGTCCCTGATTTTACAGCGATAGTCTAGAGAGAAGCCAGCTAATCAGTACCAACTCGTGGGTTACTATTCACCAACGAGTAGTGGAATTGACTATCACATTATAACGCCCTTACAGCTGAAAGGGAAGCATATTCGGGGACGGGATTAGGTTGTTTTTGGAAAATATGTAGAGGTTGTATGTTTGGTTTTAAAGTTAAATGTTAGCTACTGCATTATGTGCTGGAGTGGGACTTTTATCTGTTTCACTACCAGAACATAATTTATGAACAGAACAAAATTCTTTGGGAAGATGAAGTGTTTAAATCATTTTTTAAATTCTAGTTATTGAGGAGTAACCCAGTTGCCCACAGAGACAGTTGAAATACATAATACATTACTGAAAATAAAGATTTTGGTATATTTGTTCACTTTTGTTGGTTCCTCTGCTGTCCGAAAGCAAAATCATTCTCTGCCTTACAGTTTCAAAATCAACTTTATCTGTTAGATAAGTTGTGCCTGAATACTACAACATGCAGATAAAACAGTTATTTACAAAACAAGTCATTCATTGAAAACATTTTGTATTTACTTTCGCCAAAAAAAAAAAAAAGTGTATGATGTAAACACTACAGGAAAAACAACTAGTTGTCCCACATTGAAGTTTATGTTTAAAAAAAGTGTTTCAAAATCTTGTCAGTAGCGGGTTTATCTTCTGTTAGTACATTACTTGGAGTTTACGTTCCTATTTCACGACCAGAGACATATGGTACAAACACATAGACTTGGGAACAACAATGATATTCGTAATGGAATTAACTTGTTCTATAAAAATGATTCATAACGTGATTTTGAATAACATTTAAATTAGTGCACATGTTAATCCTCCATATTTTAGCTTAGGGCGCTCGACTGGCAACCTGTTGGTGGCGGGATCGAATCCCCGTCCCACCAAAAATGCTCGCCCTTTCAGCCGCGGGGGCGTTATAAAGTTGCGTTCAATCCCACTATTCGTTGGTAAAAGAGTAGCTTAAGAGTTGGAGGTGGGTGGTGATGACTAGCTGCTTTCCCTCTAGTCTTACACTGCTAAATTAGGGACGGCTAGCGCAGATAGCCCTCGTGTAGCTTTGCGCGAAATTCAAAACAAACCAAACCATATTTTAGCGTTTTTTATGGTACCTGTACTTACACCATTATGAGTTAAAATAAACTATTACGAAACTTTCTGTTTGTGCTGTTTTTAATTCATAGCTTTCAATAAGTTATTAATAACACTAATTTATATCGAACAGATAAATTACTGAAACAACTGTCTAAACACCACACGCAGAATTCAACTCAGTTGGATCAGCAGATGGCGCTAGTGAACGGATTGGTAAAATACCGGGACATGACGTTTGTATGTAAAGTCATACTACGAAATGCTGACTTTAGTAACGTAGACATTTTTTGTGTGCTAAAAACCAACAACAATCACAAACTCCAGAACAATGTTATATCTGTTTCACTCGACGTTTCTGCAATTTCATCAGGAGCAACTTATTATTTACACTGACAGACACAGTGCGTAACACTGGGACAATAAAATCAAAAGGGGCCATTCCAAAATATTGTTACGACAGCGGTAGTCACGCAATTCTGGGAGCATGCGCGCTGGAGTTTCTTGAAGGATCATGAATTTTCCTGGCAACTCTAGTTTCTTCCAGGCGCCCTCTTTTTGAGCATATAAGCCCGGCAAATAAAGCCAGCAAAGAAAGATAGATAAATCGAAGAGATATGCAGATAGATTGAAGAGATAGGTAATTGTGTCAAGCGAACAGTAGGCACCGTAAGTAAAGCGTGTGAATCACTGTGATTTATATCGTGTGTTATAAAGGTTGTTAAGTTTAAAGTGACTGTGGAAATTCTGTGTACTAAAAAGTTGTATCA